ATATCCGGCAGCAAGCAGAATTATTTGGCAAACATAAATTGACACAGTAGTCAAGTAGTTAACATGGCCACCAAACCTGAGATCACAAGATTCAAAATCGGAAACTTAGATGGCACAAACTGGTCGGTATGGAACTTAGAGGATGGAAAAAAATAAAAGAAGTATGGAAGTACAAAATATCTATATTACTGAAGGGTATTCCAAAAGTCTTAGACATATTAGAAGGTAGATATGGTACAATTACAAGATCAATCAGTGCGGAGGCATCAACGTCAGAAAAAGTTGGTGACATTGCTAATAAGGAGTTTCTAGATTGCATGATTTTAATCATTCTTATGCAATATGACAGACGACATATTCTAAAGAATAATGCGTTTCGAGTCTTCCAAAGAATTGTGGGATAAGCTCAGGAGGTTGTTTGACGGAGATTGAGATGATTTACTCTACGATAATTGCCTAAAGTTCTTCGAGTACAAGAAGAAACTGGACGATAATATAGTAACGCACATTTCAAATCTAAAGAATGTTTGGTTTCATTTAAATAAAGAGACCACAAAGCTTAAAGGAAATCATTCTTTGCCAGAGGTAGTTCTGATTTGCAAGATCTTAGATACCTAACCAGAAAAATACCGTGCGTTCAATTCCAGTTGGCTGTTGATGTCTAAAAAGGAAAGAACCGTTGGCATCTGGATAGTGGAGCTACTAGTCACGTCACGTTTAGAAGAGATTTGTTCCATACGTTTGAAAAATTTGACAAAGCGCATGCGGTAACGACAGCAAACGGTGAGAAAGTAGATGCCACTGGTAAAGGTGACATAAAATTGGAAGCCAAAGTCGGAGATCATAAAGGGATCATAACCTTATGCGATGTATGGTGTGTACCGTCCCTACAGAAAAATCTGTTCTCATTATTATCAGCACAGAACAGATTGCCACAAAGCGTCTTCGAATCTGAACCAGAGTTCTGTAAACTGAAAGCGAACGGCATAGTCAAAGTTACAGGTGAACGAAAAAAGAGGGGAGGCTTATTCAAACTCAATGTACAGAATGTAATGCCACCAATACCCGTCGAAGTCAATATGCTGACAAGCCAAGGTTCGTTACAGCTATATCATGAGAGATTAGCACACCAAAGCAAATTTCATGTAAAGAAGGTTATTGAAAGAGAACTCGGAATAAAGGTACCGAATAACACTAAGAAGTTTTGTTAAGGTTGTAGCTTCGGGAAGATGCACAGACAACCTTTCGGAACACAGGTTAGGTCGAATGCACCTGGAGAAATTATGCATTCAGATGTGTGTGGCCCATTCCCATTCTCATACAAAGGATATCGATACAACGTTTAAAGATGATTATAATAAGTATAATTGTATAATTCATGAAACAGAAGTCTGAGGTCTATTCAAAGCTTCAACTGATGTTCTTCTAACATCAGTTGAAGCTTTAAACAAGCAAGGTAGCTGGTCATGTCATAAGAGAACTGTTAAGTGACAACGGCAGTGAATTTAATAACGAGGAAGTTCGATCGACACTGCAAAAGTATGGCATAAAGCAAAGATTAGTCGTGCCATATACGCCACGATCAAATGGCTGCAATGAAAGAGAGAATATAACGCCCGTTGAAGCCGCTCGAGCCTTACCCAAGCAGAAATGTAGGAAATTGGATAAGATAGCAGAAAAATGTATTTTAATTGGCTATGATGGTGATGATGGGCATCGCCTTCTAAAAATTAGCAAAGAAGGACCTTCATTAGTACGTTCAAGAGACGTCGTATTTATAGAGTCAAAAATCGGTAAGACGAATACAAAACAAAATACTGATTCGGAAAAGTCTGATGAAAATGATTCTGAGTTTGAAATAAGTCTACGAATACCGGAGAATCCAATTGTGAGGGAGGAGGACGATTCAAGATATAAGGGAGGAAGAAAAAGAAAGTCCAGAAACTTTCGAAGTGTGTATGCCTCCTGAATCGTTCCAAGGTACACCTCATGCAGAGATGAGTACAATTAATGGAGAGTCACCTTCGGAAACACAATATGAGCGTGATAAAGTTGATGACTAGGATAACAACCGGACATTACCAGAGCGAGTAGAACTAATGGATGACATTATGCCAGATAGCGAAATAGAAAATTAAGACAGATCATCGTTACGAACACCTGCTAGACTTGGTAACTACTTTATGTTGTCTGTAGATGATAGGTCTGAAATGGATGAGCCTACAACATACAACGAATCATTACTGAGTAAAAGCAAGGAGCATTGGTTAAAAGCAATGAAAATTGAAATAAAGTCTTTAGAAGATAATAAAACGTGGACTCTAGTTGACTTACCAAATGGTCGTAAAGCTACATCCTGCAAATGGATCTTTAAAGTTAAAACTAACGCTGATGGTACGATAGATAAATATAAAGCAAGGCTTGTTGCTCGAGGTTTTTCACAAAAACAAGGTGTAGATTACGATGAGACGTTCAGCCTAGTTGCTAAGATGACGAAGATGACGTTCATCAGATCTGTTATAAGTGTTGTGGCAAACCGCGTTTCTGAATGATTATCTACAAGAAGAGATTTTCATGAAACAACCTGAAGGGTTTAACGACTGTCCTGTCGTTCGAGTATGCAAGTTGAAGCGCAGCCTATTTGGGTTAAACCAATCACCGAGATGCTGGAATAAATGAATTGTAGATTATTTGAAATCAATTAGATTTCAACGAAGTCAAACAGATCCTTGCATGTTTATCAGAAAAAAAGCACAGAATAAAATCATCTTAATATTATATGTTGACGATGGTCTGGTAGCTGCAAAACATCAAACGGATGCAGATAAGTTGGTATCAAAGTTGAAGCGAATGTTTAAGATAACCACATAGCCTGCAGACTACTAATTGGGGTTGCAACTGCGATATAAAGATAATGGCTCTATAAGTATTACGCAGAAGCGCTACACCGAGAAAGTTTTAGCTCGTTTCAGTATGAACAGCTGTAAATCAGACACTACATCAATGATCAGACATTCTGAACAAGGGCAGTCTGTTAAAGAGATTGTAAACGAGAAGTCATATCCTTATACACAGGCTGTTGGTGCCCTTACTTATCTCATGATTGGAACGTTACCAGATATTGCCTACGCCGTTAGTGTTGTATCGAGAACTTTGGAAAACCCCTCCAAAGAGGATGTATTAAAGGTAAAACGTATAATGAACAAGGTACATCAAGATATGGTATAACATACAAATAATTTTGAGATGGGAATACTGGACTGCTACAGCGATTCTAATCACGGAGGATATCTCAAAGATGGTCGTTCAACAAGTGGCATACTGTGTCTATATGCTGGCGGAGCAATAGCTTGGGCGAGTCGAAAGCAGATGTCAGTGGTTATATCAACGACTGAGGCTGAAATTGTCGCTGCTAGCGAAACAGCACGCGAAATCATGTGGCTGAATAATCTCAGTACAGAGTACTAAAAAAACCGACCTCAAAAGTACGTGGAATTACGTTTATTTGCTAAGTTTTATTGAAATATCCCCTAGTTTGCCACTATACAGGACTTGACGCTGAAGATAATAAAAATAGGTTCTCACTACGACACTACTCAAAGTATATTGAGAGAAAAACGCCTTGAATTGGAGAAATAGCAAAATCAACCATTAAAGTAATTGCTCCTAAATTAAATTAGGCGCTATTTATAAAAATGAATCTTCATGCGTGAACAGCCACCCGTCGAGGTGGATGATTTTCTTCAAAATGAAATGGGACCACTATGGAAGTACCCCCTTTCCAACAAAAAAAGAATCATGAAAATCGGTTCACAAATACCGGAGTTATCGCGTAACATACATACAATAAAAAGAAAAAGAAAAAAAGAACATACAGTCGAATTGAGAACCTCCTTTCTTTAAGTCGGTTAAAAAAGGGAGGATATTAAAAGAAGATTGTTAATGAATCTCTTTGATATGGTTTTGTGTTGTTATGGATACATGAAAAACCAGGATGTCAAAGTGTATAATAAATACACGTCAATTGCTTAAAAAAACATGCATGAAGATTCATTTTTATAAATAGCGCCTAACTTTAATTTAGGAGCAATTACTTTTAGCAATTATTTAGTTGATTTTGCTATTTCTCCAATTCAAGGCGTATTTCCCTCGATATACTTTGAGTAGTGTCGTAGTGAGAACCTATTTTTATTATCTCCAGTATCAAGTCATGTATAGTGGCGAACTAGGGAATATTTCAATGAAACTTAGCAAATAGACGTAATTCCACGTACTTTTGAGGTCGGTTTTTTTAGTACTCTGTACTGAGATTATTGATATTGTGTTACCTTTTTTTTTTTTTTCTTTGAGAACAAAAGTTCTGAAGAAGGGACAAACTTCTTAAAAGAGTCAAGTAATTTGTGATAAAGATTGCCATAGGAAATGAAACTATTTTTCCGGATTGAAATCGTGTATATTTGATTTTTCAAACAAACCGACGTTTCGGGCTCTTTACAGGTCCCATGGTCACGGTTGAAAGATTGCCATTAAAAAAATCGATGGGTGGCTTGCGATATGATTTTTTTTTTGAAGGATATTGCAGTTGGCCGCTGATGGCCTTGACTGCGCTACTGGAAAAAAGGGCGAGCTGAAGGCCCATAACCCCTAAAATAAACTTAAATCTAAGTAGCTGGCCTGAGGGTGCCCAAGTGGGCGCGGACCTCGGCTGAGGGCGCTACTGGAGACTTCCGCCAGAAGGGCGTGCTGTAGGAGAGAATCTACCAGTGTACGTGCTGAAATGAAGGGCTCTACGACCTCGCCGGCGAGGACGGTTGGTGCGTGAGGGACGGGACTGACTAGCGATCTGGTTGGCCTTCAAAAAGGCGAAAGTGATAGGGTCGGACCATATGATACTTGTCAAAAAGTACTACAATTACCTGAAAAATATCGAGTACAAAAGTATCGGTATCGCATATAAGCATTGATACTTTTTCCATGTCCCTCACTAGTCGATCGAGTCCCTATACCCTAGTCGTTCACGTCAAAATTGTTGAATTTGTGTTTATTTCTGTTTCTGTTATAATAATCGTAATTAAAGTAAACAGAATGGCTGAAAACGTAAATATAGACCTATCAGGGGAAATTAATGCTACTACAGAGAAGAAAGGCTTACAAAAGTATGTGAATGACATGGAATTGTAAGTCGACTAACATTTTATGCTACGTGGTGTTTTCCAAGCCAATTTTTATGGGTTTTATTGCGTGCTTATCACTGTGTAAGGTTAAGTTTATGAGTAATTTGTAAAAATATAACTTCTCCGTAGTTTGAATGATCCTGGATAATACCAACAGATTTTTCTCTTTTAAGAGAATTTGTTACACTTCAAGGAAAGATTTTTGAGAGAGAGGAAATTAGAAACTGTACTTAACAATGAAATATAATTTATTGCGTTAAATCTTTCACCTGACATTCGTTTGAAAATGTCATAACACCACATAGTTGTTACTTTCAGACCCGATTGCTTACTAACATCATAGCTATTATAGTTTTCAAGTATCAGTTTCATTAATAACATACTTACTATCTACCAGTACAGCCTAACAAAAACTAAGAATATAATGAAAATAGTACATTTCGCCATTATACTGGGAAAAACAGTTATTTAACAAATAATTTACTTTGAAATAAATGCCATCGAAATTTCTTACAAATACCATAATAAATCATGTTAATTTGTAAGAGATGATTACACATTTTATGTTTTACTGAAATTATGGAAACATTCGGATTTTACACAATTTTCTTGCATTTTCCTATGGTTAAGTGATTTTCTGTAAAATTTCAGATAAACGGTTTTTGCAGTATAATAACGATTTGTTTGTTAATTATTGTTCTGCAATGACAAAATCATAAAATATTTAAAAATTTAAGCTGGCACGTTCAAGGGTCTTAGCTTAGCACAAGATATTCACTGCATTAAAGACCCTCATGGCAACCTTATATACGAGGTCGACGCGGTGAAGGAGAGATGGGGCTCATATTTCCACTAGCTGCTGAATCAGCAGCACAGAGAGGTGCAGCCACCGGTCCTCCCTCCGAATCAGAGACTAGTGCGACCTGTAACACCTGAGGAAGTCCACTTAGCTCTTCGTCGCATGAAGAATCGGAAAGCTGTCGGAGCCGACGGGATTCCCATCGAGGCCTGGAAGGCAATGGGTCCCCATGATGTGGGCATCCTTGGTACTTGGTACTTGGTGCAACGGGCTGGTTTCCGCATCTCGACGACAAAGCGCCTATTTTGCGTGTGGTGGGTGCAGGGTCCTACTCGTGCCACCCAAGCTCCTCCAGGAATCTCAGCAGCCTCCTTGGTTTGCTGAAGACTTCGGGGAGCGACCTTGGCACTCCAAGGTACTTTGCCCTGTAGTTGGCCATGCCGGAGCACTGGAGTAGGATGTGCGCAGCCGTTTCCTCCCCCTCCATGCACGCTCTGCATAGAGGGCTGTCTGTGATACCTAAATTGAAAAGGTGTTTATTGTATGGACCATGACCCGTTAGGGCGGCAGTTAGAGTGCGAAGCTCTTGCCTTTTAAGTTTGATTAGTATTCGAGATAGACTGGCATTGAGCGTTGGGAGTGCTTCCCTCGCCTGTCTACAAACCGTAAGGGTGGTCCATGTATTATTATGTGAAGATTTTGTACCTTTGTGTATAGTTGTTCTGGACCATTGGCAGGGGAGGGACACTATCGGTTCTGGTCCTACAGCGTCCGTCTCCGACCCTTTCCTGGCTAGTTCATCTGCTGCATCATTGCCACGTGAGCCGCTGTGTCCTTTAATCCACTGAAGAGTTATGTGGTTTTGTATACATACCTCCATGAGTGTTTGATGGCATTCGTAAATGAGCCCTGAGTTTATGTCATAGCTATTCAGTGCTTGAAGTACTGACATACTGTCGGAGATTATTCGAATGGAGTAGTTCTTTAAGTTTTCTCTTCCCGCTATGATTGCTTCTGCCGCCAACTTGATGCCCATGCATTCAGCCTGGAATACTGTGTTGTGGTCACCAAGCGGTGCTGATATCCTAATATTGAGGTCTTCTGAGAATACCCCAGTACCTGTTCCTGAGTTTGTTTTAGATCCGTCAGTGAAGACTCGGACCTCTCTGGGGTTCAGTCCTTCGTTGGGATCTTCAAATAATTGTATCTTGTATTTTTTGTCAAAGATGTATTGTTTTGGGATCCTATCCACAACCGCCTCCAGTAGCGGTTCCTCATTGACAGTCTTGTAAAGGATTTCTGTGTGTGGGGTCCTCATGTGCTTCCAAAGGCCGGCTCTGTTTAGACGCACTGCTGTTGTCGCCGCTTCCTGTCTGATGAACAGTGGGAGGGGTCGAAGGTCCAGCATTGCTTCTAGGGCCGCAGTTGGAGTTGTCCTCATGCAGCCGGTCGTCGCCATGCAGGCGAGTCTTTGGAATTTGTCCAGCTTGTCGGTTGCAGTTGTCAGCTTGGTTCGTGGCCACCATACTACCGCGCCGTAACTGATCATGGGTCTTATCACCGCGGTGTAGAGCCATAGTGTTATCTTGGGTGAAAGTCCCCATTGTTTACCCACCATTCTACGGCACTGCCAGAAGGTGATAGTAGCTTTTTAAATTTTGTTGTCCAGATGTTTGTTCCAGTTCAACTTGTTGTCCAGTATTACTCCCAAGTACTTGACTTCGGTTGATATCTGTAGTTCTGTGCTGAAGAGTTTGGGTAATCGGTAGTTACCTAGTAGTCGTTTGTTTGTAAACATTACTAGTTCCGTCTTTGTTGGGTTTACCGATAGTTCATATGATCTGCACCATCTTTCCACAATTCGGAGAGCAGCTTGTGTAATGTCGCAGAGTGTATTGGCATAGTTTCCAGTTACCAGTATAGCTATGTCATCAGCATATCCTACTGTATAGAAATGTTCTTTGTTGAGTTTAATGATAAGGTCATTTACGACCATGTTCCACAGCAGAAGCGACAATACTCCTCCCTGAGGGCACCCCTTCGCTACTATGGCCCATGGGGTCTCATTTGCTGTTGTTTTTATTGTTCTTTGTTTCAGCATGTTGCTAATCCAGCTAATTAGCACTTCATCTACTTTGTGTCTTCTCATTGCTGATTGTATGCTGGAGAAGTTGGTTTTATCGAAGGCTCCGTCAATATCTATAAAGGTGCCTAGGCAGATTGCTTTGTCTTTAAGGGCCACTTCTATCTTGCCCACAACGGCATGCAGGGCCGATTCAGTGGATTTGCCTTGGCAGTATGCATGTTGGTTACCGTGTAATGGTATGTTCATAAGCGCTCCATCCCTCAGTTCTCTGTCACATAGTCTGTCTAATGTCTTCAAGAAGAACGATGTGAGGCTGATTGGTCTGAAGGACTTCGCGTCAGTGTAGTCGGGTTTTCCTGGTTTCGGTATAAATATGACTTTTACCTGTCGCCAGCTGTGGGGCACATAGCTGAATGCTAGACAGGCCCGAAAGATGTTGACCAGGTGCTGGACCAGTGTGTCCCCGCCCCATTGTAGGAGTGCAGGGAATACTCCATCTTGGCCCGGAGCTTTGTACTGTTCAAAGGTGTTTACTGCCCACTTTGTTTTTTCGTATGTCACTACTTGTTCTGCGTATCGCCAGTTATGGATCGATGTGGTGTAATTCATTTCTACGCACCTGTCGTCTTGGATGTACCTACATCCTGGGAAATGTACTTCCAGTAGGGTTCTTTCCGTTTCCGCAGGGGAAGTTGTGTATGTGTTATCTATTTTGCGTATTGAACCTAGCTCAGTTGAATTTGAGTTGCCTAGGACTTTCCTTATTCTGGGCATCCTTACCGGCCTCTTTAATTGCGTGCTCTTCACTGGTAAAATCCCTAACCAATGGAGACTGAGCATTATCGCTCCAGTCTTCAAAGGGAAGGGATCGGTGCTGGAGTGTGGCGATTATCGGGGCATAAAGGTCATGTCCCACACCATGAAGCTCTTCGAGCGTATAATAGACTCTCGGATCCGACAGGAGAGTGCTGTCTCGGAGGGTCAATATGGGTTTCGGCCTGGTCTTGGGACCATGGATCCTGTTTTTGCCCTAAGAGTCATCATGGAGAAGTACAGATTGAAAAATACACCTCTGCATTTCGTGTTTCTTGACATGCAGAAGGCATTCGACTGTATCCCCCGTGTAATGATCTGGTGGGCACTGAGATCCAAAGGGGTACCAGAAACTTATATTGACATCATCCAAGACATGTACCGCGATTCCGATTCCATGGTTAGGACTGCTGTTGGTGACACTAAACCCTTCCCTGTCACAGTCGGAGTTCACCAGGGCTCAGTTCTCAGTCCTTATCTGTTCAGCGTGATATTAGACGAGGTCTCAAGCTCCATCCGAGACACGAATGAGCAACCTCCGTGGATGCGTGGATATCGCGCTGGCGGATGCGGATAGAGGGAGACTGGTACGACGAGTGAATGTGTGGAAGGAGTCGCTTGAGAACGGCGGTCTGAGACTAAATGTGGCGAAGACTGAGTACATGGTCTGCAACGCTACAGATCCCCTACCCGTACGCATAGGCGAAGACGCGGTCGAGCCTACGGGCCAGTTTAAATACTTGGGATCTGTACTTAGCGCGTCCGGAGACATCGATTGCGACGTCAGAGCCCGAATCGTAGCCGCTTGGGCAAAGTGGCGTGAGGTGACTGGTGTCATTTGTGACCCCAAGATAAGCTGAAAGGACAGGTCTATAAATCCATCATTAGGCCTGTCCTTTTATATGGCAGTGAAACGTGGCCCGTACTTGAGCGTCATAAGCAGGAGCTGCGTGTCACGGAATTGAAGATGCTGCGCTGGATGTGTGGAGTTCCACGGAAAGACCGTGTCAGAAACTCCCGCATTAGCGGCAGCCTTCACGTTCGTGACATTGCAGGTAAACTGCAAGAAAGCCGCCTACGTTGGTACGGCCACATCTTACGGAAACCGGCATGCTACGTGGGAAACAAATGTCTGGCTATGCCACCTCCGCCGGGCCCCGATAGAAGGGGCAGACCCAAGAAGTGCTGGCTTGACGTCGCCAAGGGTGATATGGGTGCCAATGGTCTCACCACTAAGGATGCCGAAGACCGTGCAAAGTGGAGGAGAAAAAGTAGGAAAGCGGACCCCGGGCTCCGCAGCAACACTGCTGAGGACGCAACCGGGACAACGCTCAGATGAGAGAGAGAGAGAGACAATATCATAAAATACTATTTCATCCTTAAAAAGACTTCAAATTGAGGAGTTACAGAACAAAAACTGATAAATAGTCTCATTGAATGGATTTGTCACATTGTACTGAGATCCATGCATTTGAAACATATTTTGAAAGAGGATTTAGCGGTTGCTGTTCAAGCCTGATAATTTTTTCATAGAACAGTACAAAAACTACCATTTAGCATTAAAAAGAGGAACAAGTCAAAATGTGATTTATGAGTTTTAGTTCCAACACTCCTCAATTCAAGTTTTATTATTACATATTCATTCGGAGAGTTTTTCGCTTTGCTTTCACATTCGCTTTAAGTAAATATTGCTGAATTGAAACAAATAACATTACTGAGATAATAACAGTTTTATAGTAATTCAGACTTGTTATTTAAGTACAAATATAGTTGATATACAATGTAGATATTCCTTAACATAGAATTTATTAAAAAACTCGTAATTACATTAAAGGATTCTGCAGCATGTTCGAAGTGGTGCAGCTCCAGCCCTCCTCTTGGGCTTCATTAACACCCGGAGACCTTGGACCCAGTTTGTGGCCACTGAGAACTTTAAGGTAAAAATGTATTTATGTTACATATAACTCTTCAAATCGATAACAATTTATATGATTCAAGCTTATTAATCTTTGTATACCTCTGCTTGACCAGTGATTTAGATTTGTGAAAATTTGGCATTAAGTTTTGCAACTATTCATATTAATTTGCCATTTCAAAAAATGCCAGGGGGGAAATTTTAACATAAAAATTTGTTTTCCTTAGGTGCCAGCGTCGGTGCCCAGGCTGACACGGCGGTTCTATCGCAATGTAGAATATTTCCAAGGAAACTACTTGATAGTCTTTATAGGCCTTTTTATTTATTGTCTGTAAGTGGTATTTTAAGGTCTATCACCTTTTTGATTAAAATTTAAGTAAACTGAATATATGCTTAAGCTTCCCACTAGTTCAATGTATGGAACTTTTGGGTTACAACATTCACGTGGGGCTGAGTACATTGAACTACTGGGAATAAACCTCATTTTTCTTGAGTTTTGCCTGTGTTGGCATTTATTAACACAAGGGAAAGTGGCAGTAGACAAAAAACTATGAAAGCAGATGGAGGATGCCTTAGCTGATGATAACACTATGCATCTGTATATAAAATTAGAAATACAATTTGAAATTTTAATTTACAATTACACATATTATTACATAAATAAAGTTTTCCTAGTTTGTTATGTAGTCAATATGCAATCATTATACAATCATTTTTTAAAACAGAAGAGAGAATACTTGTCATACTGTCTTTTTCAGCATCACAACTCCACTACTGCTAATTGCGATGGTTGCTAGCTTCTTCGGCTATCGGAAGTTGACGTCAGGTCCTAACAATTGGAAGGTAAAATACTACTGGACTACTTCTTTACACTATTCATTAAAGGGCATTTGTTATACTATTTCATGATTGAAGTCAGTTATAGTAGATTGTTTTTATTTTCAGCCAAGAGTAAGTGATTCGTTTCTTTACATTTTATATGTTGTTTTTTCCACTTACTTATTTCCATTTGCTGTCATGGTAACAGGATTGGTACGACATGATATGTTAAATGATGCATTTTGACACAATAGTGAGAATGAATGATATCGAACAATTTTTATAAGGATTGAAATTTACAATTGAACTTACAGTTTTAAACACAGTTTCCTGTTAAATGTATTTTCTCCAATTGATAAATATAACAATTTACCCCATAATTTTAAGAAATTCAGATTTAATCACTACAGACGAACTTCATAATAGTTAGAAAACTACATGACTTATTATAGGTACATACTAAGGGGTAATGGGGCATGACGATCTATATTAATATACATATATTTTGTTTTTTCACAAACGTTTTTGACAGCGTCCTGTAAGTTTTAGGCTAATTATAATAATGGCAACAAATACAAAATATGTTTACTCTATATTTGTTTTGTATATAATGCACTTAAATTGAACCCTATACCAGTTACAGTAAAACATAGAGCCCAGCCTGATGTTGACTGGACACATTTGCAATGCGCCAATGTTAAAAAGCAATATTTCAAATGCCCTGCAATAACAATCCCCATTTACTTTTTGGGTTTTGATGTCTGGTGTGGCATATCTTACTAACCACCTTTATATGTATCTGCATTCATTTGGTGAAGGAATAAAATAGAGAAGGCTGCTTGACATTTAACATGTCCTAATGCAAAGTTTAACAAGTTAGGCCTATTTGGAATCTTCAGCAATACACAGAAACAATTCCAGTGCTGGTGGTAGAAAAGGCATCATTTATGTGTTAAAATCTGATTTATGGAATTACTCGGATATTTGAACAGTCTGTAGTGTTATCAAAAACTATTGTTTAATCTATTATTTACTTTAAAAAAATCCTTATCACTACTTGCGTCGCTTATCACTACTTGCGATAATTACTAAATTTGAAAAATTGGTTCTCGATTTCGTTAGGATGGAGAATTTAAAAAAGAAATGACAACACTGAGTGTGTGATGGCGAAAGTCGCCGGAAGGGCTTGTCTTATTTAAATTTAAAAATAAAGGAATATGTTAGTTAAGTGCCTGCAGTGATTATTCATTGGTTCTTACCTATTTGATTAGCGAATTGATTGAATAAGTCAACAGCTTAGTACCTATACTAAACTGTCCTTTGAGTGTAAATAATATTCGTAGATCGGCGGTTGGGAGCTTAGTAAGACACAGCAGTACGCGGTGGCTGCAGCTGCCTCTATGGTTATTTGCTGGCTAGCTGGAGCTGGAGCCGTGCTCTTTTGGGTGCTCGGTATGTTAACTTTATGATTTTTGTAATGGTATCATCTTCGAGCATTATATTATGATCGAAAGTAGAGATGTGGCGTCGACACGTTTACCGTTAACGACACGCAACCATCCATCGTCGACTGTTAACTAGTCGATCAACAACTAGTTAAATTCGTTAACTAGTCGAACAAGCAACTTAGGTTGATTTTCGTTTTATGGACGATTAAAGAAACGGTGAACTGAATCAATTAAGTACGTATTGAGAACATGAACTATTGTATTGGAAATTAAACAATTTTTTCCGGATATATAAAAAGAGTCCAAAATGTTGGTTTATTTTGGAAAAAAATTAAATCCGAAAAATTTTTTTCCTTTCCGATGCTTAGCAATTGCAAAAACCTAAGAACGATATTATGTATTATTTTATATTAAGTCGGTACAGGATCAAGAGCACGTCAAGCTTGATACTTAATATTTAATCCGACTATATGCCGCTTTCGTTAAGAACGGTCCAAAGTACAAAGTGTCTCAAACTTGAGGTGCTCTTGACTGTACATACATACTAACAGTCAATAAAAAAATTAAAATAATATTAAGCCTATTTATATTACTAAGTTATAATTAACATTCCAAAAAAACCGTAACCTTTTTTCACACGATTTATCACACGATTCACACGAACTACTATTAAAAACATAAGAAAATAAAAAAGAAAAAGGTGAAGAAACCGCCGAAACAAACATGCTCCCGTATTTTCATGAGCGGTTTTTAATACATTACAACAGAGTTTAATTCCGTTGATTCAAGCTCATTGAGGCCCAGTAGCTGCCACGTTGTTTGCCAGTTTCTCTCTTTCTCGCACTCACGAATTAACTACACCGTCATCCCTTTTCTACTTTGAATGCATAATGTAATAATAAATAGCATAACATGCTTATCGCACATATTTAAACTTAAGTTTACTGAATTTAAAATCCAAAATAATTTGGTTATGTAAATTTACGTGTATTTCGACTAAATTCGCGCATCGTCTCGTCGCATCATCTAGTATGTGGGCCCATTCAGAGTGCAGGCGCGGTCTCGGTGGCGCACTATGGAAATCAGTGTTGGGCAAAATTTAATTGTTCTGGCAATTAAAGATTGACAATTAATTAATTGTCAATTGCGAAACAGCAATTAACGGTTGATCAATTGTTAGTTGCGAGAACCGCAATTAGGTTAGGGGTAGGGGTAGGTAAAAAAAAAAAAAAAGGTTAGGGGTAGTTTAGGAGGTGGGTCAGTGGTTGGGACAGGGGGTGGTTTAGGGCGTAGGTTAGGGTGGTTAGGGGTGAGTTAGGGGTGGGTTAGGTTAGTTAGTTTAGTTGGGGGGCCGGTTGGGGAGCCGGTTGGGGGGCCGGGGGGGGGGCCGGGTGGGGGGTGGTCAGGGGTTTGTGACCCACCCACTTTTTTTTTCACCCTCTAACCCAACCCACCCACACACCCGCTCACCCACCCCGTAACCGACCACCTAATCCACCCCCTTACCTACCCGCTGACCCAACCACTAATCCAAGACCCCTCAACCGGCCCCTCAACCGGCCCCCCAACCGGCCCCCCAACCGGCTCCCCAACCGGCCCCCTCAACCGGCCCCCCCAACCGGCTCCCCAAACCGGCCCCACCAACTGTCCCCCAACCGGCCTCCCAACCGACCCTCCAGCCGGCCTCCCAACCGGCCCCCCAACCGACGCCCCAACCGACCCCCTAACCCACCCCGTAACACACACCTAACCCATATTCGTAATTACACTTTTATTCGGTACTTTCGGTTTTAATTGTTAGTATCAATTATTTCTTAGAACAACTAAAAAAATTAATTGCAATTAAAGTCTTTTCAATTGAAATTAATTTCAATTGAATTGATTTTTTAATCTTATTGAAATTTAATTGATTAACGCCCAACACTGTGGGAAATTTAGGTCAGTTACGGATCAATAATCTGTAACTTATTGTTTTTCGAGATACACCTTTAATTATTTTTTTTTTGTACATAGTACAAATTACGACGGTTGTAAACGCATATACATTTTTATTTAACTATTCCTAGCTGAAAGAAAAAAAATAGCAAAATCTCTCCCTTACTACTCAATAATTTGATATGAATACTCAAAAAAACTTAATTGCAACGCCGTGAAAAAAAAAAAAGTACGAGACAAAAAACATTAAATCATATTTGTTATTATTTCGGATATCTGTTTTAGACTCTAGCCTCCCTCTTCTATCATGGCCTATTATTATTATTATATAATATCTTTTTCAGAATCATAGTGACGAGTTGGTCCACTTTCAATAGACGAATAGAGTAGCGTCTCCTCGCCAAACTCCTTTCGATTTTTAACATAAGGTTTTCGGTTACTAGTAATATTGGATAAGAAGTACAAAGTAACGTGTGAATTACATATGAATTTGCAGCAGATGTTGAGCACTTTCTTGTGTGGTGTAATCATTGTAATCTAAATTTGTTGTAGTCTTTATTACGAGATTCTTAAGCGTCTTCTGAAAGTTGCCCGATAGGTAACGCTGCAAAATGGTTTATTATACCTTATCTGTGAATCACAATATTTTGTGTACCGAAGATATAATAGCAATCATATTTATTGCTTGCGGTTTCCAAAGCATATTCCACATATTTTTGAGAATCTGTCATTATGTCAGGCGATAAGGCTTGAAGGATTACATAGAGTCGCTTTATCAAAATTTCATCGACTCCTGTAATTTCAGCAGAGCAGACTGCATTATAAAAAAACCTTCTCGCTGTGTTAGCGTCATTGGTATTACCACTTCCTTGTCGTGGTTTGTCATTATTAATAAAAATTTCTTCTCTTGTTTCATTCGTTTATTTTCGTCACTCGTTTTTGAAACGAAAGGTTGTACGAAATGTGCAAAATCTATTAAATCCTGTAGCGATAAGATTTTTGCTCAAATGTTTGTAATTTCAATTTCAATTTTAAATAGAAAACCACCGTGAGCCTCAGACATATTAACTAAAATGTTACATAAGTCCCGACCTCCCAAGTCTAACATACCGCACGGAGAGCTGAAGGCGTTGGGTGAGCTGCATGATAACTTGGAGGTGTTGGTGTTGCCAGCAGATAAAGGGAATGCAACTGTCATTGTTGATACGGTAGCGTATGAAAATAAAATTGCTCAGTTACTGAGTGATGGAAAAAACATATAAGAAGGTAATTTACAACCCAACCTCTAGAGTGACTACCAAAGTTAATAAATTGCTACAAGATTTAACAGACCAGAATTTGATAACATTGTTGCGCCCACAGAACCCAACGTCCCCTAAGATTTATGGTTTACTCAAAATCCACAAGCCTGATTGGCCTTTACGACCCATAGTCAGTCAGATTGATTCGCCGACCTATAAGTTTGCCCGTCATATGTCTTCCTTACTATTAAAGTTCACGGGAAAAACTGCGAGTCATATAAGGGATTCGAGGTGTTTCGTCAGTTTGTTGAATGATATCCAGCTACTTGAAGATGAACTTATGGTGAGTTTTGACGTGACATCTCTTTTCACCAATGTACCGGTAGACGAAACAATTAAAATTATCTCAGACCTTTTAAATGCCACAGATTTACCTGCCGTGTATATAAAATCAATTGAGGTTTGTCTGAAAAGTGGGTATTTGGTATGGCACGGTGATTACTACTTACAAATTGATGAAGTGGCCATGGGTTCACCAATTGCTCTCATAATGCTAACATCTTCATGGAGTGGTTAGAAGAAAAAGCTTTAAAAAACGCGTCTGTAACACGTACATATTGGTGGCGGTATGTGGATGATATTTTCGCTATTATCTCGAAAAATAGTTTGCCGGTACTCAATACTCAATTCTTTATTGCATTCCCAAAAGTTTACATTTGTAGCAAGTTGTTGTTGTACCCTGTTGGGCACAGCAATGTACATAGAGAGGGCAACATTTCACTTACTTGAATTAAATTAAATCAATAAACATTTCAACATCAAATAAAATCTTCAAAAAAAACATGCAATAATTACAACTTATATAAGCATACAATTCATAAATTACAAATAAAATCTATTAATATTATTATTTTGTCAGTACAATAAATGTCTATGAAAAAAAACAAATTATATATTATATATTCTTGGACTACCTCAATTCTGTGCACGATGAAGTTAAGTTCACGATGGAGAGAGAAACACTAATTGCTAATCCTACATACGCATACGCATATACACTTTAGTTAATTTAGTTTAAGTCTAATAATAATATTAACGACATAAATATATACATATCCAACTATACTATTTAATACATACATATATTCATATTATACATATATTCATATTTAATACATACATATATGCACCAAAGAAGTGTTCAAATCCATATTCATTATGAAGTGTAGTATTTTTGCGCTTCTTATTAGATTCTGAAGAATTTTCATAAGACATACTGGTATCCCTCGTTTTCCAGTTGAAGTAGATGGAGTGGAATCGATGGTCGTTGACAAAGTAACAGAAAACACTTGATCCAACCAATCACTGTTAACCCTCAACAAGGTTTCTTTTGTGATGCTTGGCTCCATCGACTGTTAAACTATTTTTTTTTAAATCACTAATAACAAACGTAAATTATCCTCCGAAACTTCATAACAATCTCAAAGAAATGTTTCTAGAGCCGACTCTTTTCTTCCACCTTCAATATAGCAAAGTATTAGTTCTCTTCGGAAACATTTCAAAGAATTAATTTTTAAAGGAGTTGGAAAAGTAATTCAGTAAGAAATGACTGCTTGTATTAATAAATTTATGAAATTAATGTGTCAGAGCATTATATATTAATGGCGTAGTGTGAATAATATTGATAAATAAGATAAATGCAACCGAATGTATATTATCTTATCGCGTTGTATTGTTATGGATATTTTTCTGCGGTAGGACATTTGTTATGTTTTCTTTCATATCTTTAGAAACCGCAAAAAACCGCAGCTTATTTTTATAACATTTTGAAAATGTATACCTACGCTATGAAATAATACAAAATTCGAATCTTCGGCAAGCCTCGCTAACAGTCAAACCTTTGATGAATTTGATATAGATAGGTGTATGGTATGTCCCCATTTAATTATGATGTATTTTCTTTACATTACTCAACAAATTATAAAAATATCAACTATTTTTGACATTTACGTAAGATGTGCTTTATATAAATATTAATAACACATAGCTCATCTAACAAAATCAATACGAATTGCGACGTCGAAAGATCCAAAATTATACGGCACAACGAGATGAGTCTGGGAAAGGACATTTTGGGTGTATTTTTATTAAATTAACATACCCATCTAGCATAAAAACGTCGAAATCGCAAAGAGACGTTAGACGCTAGACGAAGCACTGTGAAAGGTACGGGCGGATCGAGCCAATAGATCTGTCAGCGCAGCCCGCGCGCACCAGCGCTCGCTCTCGCCTCGAGACAGGCGAGACGCGCGCGGTCAGTGTAAACGCAACGAGCGTCTACGTACATTTGATTTACACGCACGCCGCCACTCTGAATAAGGCCTATAATCAGATGCGTCGCGTAGAGCGTAGAGGTAGGCGTCCACAGATCCGCAGCGCACGCATCAGATGGATCGCATCAAACGGCTCGATTTGTGGCAGTGCATCCACTGTATCTGCAGCAATCGGATTGCCGACGCAACTACTAGCTATCGGATTGCCGACGCCACTTTTAGCGAGCGGACGAGTGTAACTTGTGTATGCGAGACGACGAGAGATTTGGAAAGTGATGCAGAACAATTAAAATTTGTCGTGGTGGCTTGTTTGTTGGCAGAAGGAGAAAGAAGAGAAAAAAAAGGAAACAGGATTATTGGCTACATGACATATTTAAGAAGAGATCCCAATGCGTCGGCGCGCTCGCGGGTTGCGTCCACTGATTTACACAATTCGTATGACGTCGTCGGCACGCATCGGAAATTTTGCCCCTTCGAGCAACTGCGTCGGCATTACCGACAGTTCGGTGCGTGCGGTCCGTGTGATGCGGATCAGTGGACGCAGTTGTATGAACTTTTATACAAAGAATACTAAAATCCGTAATATAATAATGCGATCCGTCCGACGCGTGCGCTGCGGATTTGTGGACGCCTACCTTAACGCGTGGATTCTCTGTATAGCCGTCTACAATTCTTCTATAGTCAACGAATTCAACTAGTTAATGAAAGAACGGTAGACCGTAGAAACGTCGATTGGACGTGAACAGTTGATTCAACTAGTTCGTCCATTCAACGATCTCTAGATCGAAGGTTGTTATACAAGGATTTTCTATGTTAGTCAACACGTTATAGTATCATTTTAAAGCGAGACTCTTTCACTCGCACTGTGTATGCCCATTTGATTGACAGTACAATTTTTTATCTCTTTATTTTTTGTCATTACCTAATTCACGCATTCTAAATGCATGTTGATTAATATATATTTTAATATACTTTAAAATTAAGATATTGTCGATTCATTGTGTATGTGAACGTCTTTTTTAAGTTGTCAATCTCCCCAAGGTGCGACTGTGACGGTAGTGGCTCTTCATGCGGGTTTCTACGACGCCGAGTCTCTACCGCAGCTCGAAGACCCGGAGCAATTCCCCATGATCGAGCAGGTGTGACAGTGCTACCTGCCGCTCTTCCTGCCGCCGCCGGGTCGCCTCACCCCACCCCCACCACGATGACTCTACAGAGTGTACCTCTATTTATATTTACACTTGCCGTCACAGAAATGTATTCTAAGCTTCGTTTTATACAATTGCTTGGAGGTAGCCACTAAATTTTTGACATCTTTAGCTCAAAATGACTTTAAAAAAAGGAGGAGGTTCTCAATTCGTCTGTTTTTTTATGTTACACGATAACTTGTTAACCGATTTTGATGATTCTTTTTTGTTGGAAAGAGGGTACCTACCTCAGTAGTGGATCCATTTAAATTTGAAGAAAATATTCCACCTCTAAGGGTGACAAACTAGGGGATCAATCCGGTTTTGCGCATTTTCTGGTAACCGATTACAATAAAACTTGGCAAATAGATGTAATTCGACGAACTTTTGAGGTCGGTTTTTGTAGTACTCTGTATTGAAATTATCAAATATATAAGTTGATTTTGTTGATGGCAAGATTCAGGTAGTGATGTAGGTAATTTCAAATTGTTTATTAATAAGATTAGCAGACATTCGAACTGTTAATCCTATTATGTGGAATCGAAGACGGGGTTACGTAGTAATACATTATTTTATAACATGAAAGTGAATGTTTATTTTACAAACAATTTTAAGTCCACTCACGCCAAGTTATAAAATTATTATTAGACTGACTGTATCTGCTCTATTTTACCTGAGCAAACTTGACACTGTGAGAAAAACTCGTTATTTGTAAAAAACGAAGTAGCTTGTTTATTTTTAATACTTGAATTTGTAATTGCAGAGTTGTTTGACGCTCCTTATTGATTCCTTACTGAAGTCGGATCAAATCAAGCCGAAAACAGAAGTCATTGAAATCTCTGAATCTATTCCTGTAGTTGAAAAATTAGATACAAAAAAGCTTTCTGCCATTCAGAAGACATAAGTATTTATTTAGTGTTGGTAACATATTATATATGTAATAGTTAGGATAAAAAAATCTAGTAATAGTTATTTTAATTAAACAGGGGCTCTGTCTTAAGTATTATTACTGATGATAATGGAATTTGATGTTGGTCTATTTCATCGACGTTTTAAGGTTTAGATATGTAGTTAAATAAATTAATATATCCGTGGCTTGGTACACGAAGTGCCTATTACTTGCGCAATTCTTTTACCGAGCCTCAGTTATATGTTTAATGTTTCGTTGGTGCTTAATATTTTTAAAAACTGTACACCTTGTCCAATAGGAAATTTAGATTTTGGTCATTTTGATTTGTGTATACATAACAAAATCTTGTAAATATTTTTACAATGTTTAATAAAATTGCGTATTTATTAAGTTTTTAAAAGGTTTTATTTTACTAATTGTAACACAGTATACGAATTCATGTCCTATAATATTAAAGTAACTTAAATACAAATAAAAGAAACTTCATATAAAATTTACAATATCAACTATAGCAAATGTGTTCCAATGCATAATTTTAGAAGCAAGGTTTGAGAGATGTGTAGTATGCATATAATTGTCAATAAAAGCTCTATTTTAATAGTGGATATAAAGATATACAATCATACTCATGTAAAATAGATTTTACAAATTACAGTCATTTGGAAGTCTTGCTAATACAGCTAGAAATTTCACTATAATTATTTAAAATCTACATGTGGATGCTGCATGTCCTTTTTATTTATATAGGTATAAACAACATCAACATGATCAGTCAACCATGCCTTTCTTCCCTCTCAAATAATAAAATAAATAAGTATTATGCTTCCCATTAAAAATTTTGAATTTCTTTTCTGTTCGAACAATTCACTAAACTTTATAATTGCACTATGTATTGTATGTGACAAGATAAACATCTACTCTGATTAACAAGTCCATAAAATTTAAATATAGGAACATATAAGAATATGTTTTAAGTCTTCAGACATTTATAACATCCCCTGGAAGACTCGAGTATAGAAAAATCTGTCTAAAATATGAATTCATTAATACATTACAAATATTTAAGTTATAATAAAATCACAACAATTGCCATTGTTAATTTTATTCAGTTCCATGTCGGCAACAAGTAGAATCTCATCCCACTTTTGCGACGGAGTGTCAGGTGGAGTGGATACGTACAATTTGAGTGCTTTACTGGAGCTTGGTGACGGGGATGTAAACTCCAACTTTCGTTTAGACTTTACAGCAAATGCATGGCAAGGTGTAACACAGTCCTGGCTGTCCACTACAGAAAGAGGCATAATTGGAGAAGGAGTAGCTTCCACCACCATTTTTTCAGCCCTTTTCATCTTTAAAGGTCCCACATAGCGGAACACAGGCTTCTTTAATATTAAATTACCAGATACTTTTTCTATGAGACCAATTGAAATTAAAACATTAGCAATATCATATAGTCGCCGCACTTTGGATTTGTGTTGGCGATCCTGCTGCTCTGGAGAGAGAACTGTTTTGTTCTTATTGGCTGTGTCTATCAGGACACCAACTGCCATCTCTAAGTTAATGAGGGTGTTCTGGAAGTAAAAGTAAATAAATATTAAGAAGTATATGAAAATTAATCCATTAGCATGGTAATGTTTACAAAATTATTTACTTACTGGTTTCTCCACTAAAAACAACATCAAAAACCTTTGTGCCAACACACCAAGAGTTTTGTGTTTTGGAGCTGGGGGTTTTGGTGCTCTTCCTCGAAGTGCCTCAGACAATCTTAAATTCTCTCCTTGCTTTTTTAGCATTTTGAGAAAGGAATTCAGTCTTGAGCCTCCATGCCAGAGGTACGTATTTTTTCTCTTGTGAACAGCACATTGCATAGCTTCTAGGATATTGATAATGTCGTACATTCGTCTCTTTTCGACTCCTAGCCGCGCTGCAGTACTGTCCAGCTGTATTTCCAAAGTGCCATTTCCACGAAGAGGGTATAAATCAAGGAACCTGTTCAAAAGAAACTTGTTTGTTGAACTAGCAATATGAGTAACGTCGAGCACCGAGTACAGGGTCGTATCCCAACAAAATCGTCAGGATGGTAAAGGTTACTTTTATAAAGGCAGTATATTGTCATAGTCAAGATGGATTTACGCTGATAGGTTGTGTATTTTATGATATTCCTGTACTTATACCTGTCACATAGAATCTGCAGAGACTTCTCTTTGCGGTGGACAACGCTAGGCGGGGGCGTGGGGTATTGTAGTGCGACATTGGTCAGAAGCTTGAGGTTAGCTGTCGGAGACACGTAACTACCAGAGTTCGTTACTTCGGTAAGCGCGCAACGCTTAGGAGTAGAGGTAATGTTATCATCTTCATACATCATGTGAGAACATTATGCAAAATTCACGCCACAAAATGTTCGCGTACTTTTTGACAGCAAGTTCTGCAAATCCAGTTGGCCACCGTTTTATAACAAGAACGCAACGCGTATGTTTTCAAATTCAATAGCCCTCATTTTAAAAAGATGATTTAGACATTTTTAACGCAAAAAAGATATGGATTCGAAAAGTTAACTTTTGTAACCTATTATCAAACAATGTTGACAGCTGTAAGTGCGCGCCCGCGGTGTATACGGGGGAATCAATTTTTTTTTCTTCTTTCCATAAAGGAAAAGGCACAGGTTTTACACCATACAGCCAAGTCTTGGTACATTATTAAGTCTTTTGAGCCATGTCTTCGTTTAATTATGTTTCTGTAAATATGGCCGCCACAAAGGGGATAGGCAATTTGAGGCGGCGTGGTTGGATTGGCTCGGGATTCCTTAGAACGGGCAGATACGGGTATTTTAGTTCGAGATTCGTATAATTTCGCGTTTTAATCTTCGATTAAGGCACAATAGCTCTATCCTATTCCACTTTAAACTAGATTTCATGAAATAATTGAAAGTCAAAATAAAAACGACACTTTTCCCTCCACCTTTTGGAGGGAAAAGTGTCCCAGAGCGAATCGGGGGGAATCAAATCAAGTCAGACAAACGACAAACCGAGGAAACAATAATTTGCGTTTTATTAGTACAGTTAAAAACGGATTGTCATGTATAACAAAAATTATGAACCTAAAATAATTTAAAGCTAAATACAAATTACACTTTGGCCAAACAAAATTATACTACGCATTACGACAATGTAATTGATTTCAAGAAATTTTTAAGTGAAAAAGATTAAAAATTTCCTACAAGCAAATTCCGACATAATTATACGCCTTAACATTCCGACGCGATTTTTATTATACTCATTCAATATATTTCTCTTTCTAACTACAAGTAGAGTAATAATCATTGCTCTTTCTTTCTTGCCATGACTTTGTAGCTCTTATAGTCTGTGGTTCGACTCTGATAGCATCCGAGCAATGAATTTTCAATCAAGTGAATGTCTTTTAACCTGTTAAAATCCTAATTAAGTACTTATCTGTGCTATATAGTCTAAATTATTTATATTACTGAAATTTGAAGACTAACATTATAAATAATATTCGAAATGTACTATGAATCTGTGTAGCTATCTATTAATTTAGCGGAAACGGATATGTTTATGATGAAAAGAATTGCGTCGATCATGTCATGGCATGGCTGGCATGAAGCTTGATCGCTTTTCTTGCGAAAGTAAGCTTGGTTTTTACTTTGAAAGTGGTGAATTATTCAACTTGGCCTTTTATTTACGTCCTGAAACAAAGTATTGTGAAATGTTTGGTTATACGTAGAAAATAAGACGATGTAACGACAGTTGACGATGCTTACTTTGTCGTGAGGGGCAAGAATTATTCGCGACAAAATGAATGACGGCGATTGGATTTGCAGTGATGCTAATTGTGGAAATATCAATTTTGCTCGTCGTTTGTCATGTTATCGGTGTAATAAAGAGCGTCCAGATGGAGTGAAGCCCTTTAAAAAGAAACTGGGCACGGAAATTGGGAAATCTGCGGCAGAAAAGTCTCGCGGTTTGTTCAATGCAGATGATTGGCAGTGTAGCAAATGTGCGAACGTCAACTGGGCCCGGCGTCAGACTTGCAATGTTTGCAATGCGCCCAAGTATGGTGAAGTACGTAATATGAAAAAAAAATATTAGACTTAGGAGTTACAACTAAGTTCGACGATTTTGAATGTAAATTTATTACTCGTATATCATTTTATTTATCTTCGTAATGTGTGTCGGTCATTCTCGGACTAGTGTTCAATAGCTAATTTCCGTGACAATTTTTATTATTTAAATATTCAAGTATGTTATCGTGTAATTATTAAATAATATTCCACGATAAAAAAAATCAAATACTTAAATAATGAAAATTCTCACCGGAAATTAGGTAGTGACTACTACTAGCCCGACAATGACCGGTGTGTGTATGTCATATATATTAAACATTCAACAGCATGCCAAATTTTGCAGTTAAGTACAATACTGATACATACAGATTTGAACATAAAAGGGTAATACTGCTAGTACTATTGCATAAATATTTGCAGGTGGAAGCTCGGACTGGTTATGGGGGTGGTTATAATGAACGTGGTGTAGTGGAGTATCGCCGGCGAGAGCCCTCTTCTGAGGATGAATATGACGAGTTTGGCAGAAAGAAACGCAAGCGCAAGTCAGACTCACAAAAACCAGACGAAAAGGTTAGTTTTCTTTCTCATACACCACTCACTTTGAAATGATTTCCTATTAAATTATATTGCAAAACTATTAACACTTATTTTATATGCTAACATAAAAAAATTTGGTGTCTAGAAATTGCTTGTGTGAATATTTATTTTTCGAACTTACAAGGGCTAATGGATGTTCAAGCTAAGAAGAAATTGATATCTGTGTTTAAATGCGTCTTTGAAGCACATAAGTACTAAAGTGGAGATAATTTTTCCTGCCTTCAGGTTGGCACCACTGAAGGACCTGTATTCAAAATGTTGCCACCAACTGTGCTGCAGAAGGGAGCCATTACGGATCGTTTGCCAGTTCCAGCACCAAAGAATAAAGAACAAGAGAAAATAAGTGGCAGCCTAAGTGATGGCTCAGTGTGTGAACTTCCTCCACTTACAAAATCAACTTTTCGGAAAAATCAAATACAAAGCCAAACAAACTACCATAGACAAGAGCACATGTTGCCAAGTTATAGGTCCAACCAGCCCAGAAAAAGATATTCTAGTACAGGTGATAAAGAACACACTGGGTCTTCTGGTTATGAGACAGGTTCTAAGAAATACAAGCGAGATAGCAGCAGTTCTCCTGTCACCAAAGCTTGTAATCCTGTGATGGAAAATAGAGTATCCTCAACTAATAATGATGTAGTCTATAAATTTACTGGCCCTACACCTGCACAAGACTTTCAAGTTACATACACCTTGGAAGAACGAGTTAGAGCTGCAGCTCTTGCTATTGTGTATAACAATTGCAGAATCAGCACAGACAAGTTTGAATCTCTTTTTGATAAACCAGCACCAGATTTCAAAACTATTTTTGCTTGGCGACAACGACTTATGAGTACTGGCTGCTTAGTGGATGGTCATGTGATGTCAAATAAGGATATTCCTGAAAAAACAGGTCTACCAGCTCTTTCTGTCAAACCAGGATTGAATCCCCAACAAAGTTCTCGCAAATTACCAAATCCTGATGAGATTTTAATATCTGACAGTGATGACGGATGTGATACAAATGAAAAAATACAAAACCAATCAGTTTCCCGACAAAGAAGCACAAGCATTGAAACATTGCGTCTTGGGGCTGACAGAGCTGCAGGTAGTTCTGTGAGCACAGCTGATGAAAGAGATTCACGAGCTAGAAGTCGAAACTCGCAAAGAAGCAATTCCAGATCAACTCAAAATAATCATTCGCACTCTCCTTCTAGTGACAATCATGATTCTAACTATGCATCTGAAGATTCAGTGAAAAGGGGAGCTATACCTAAGAAGATTATTAATGCTAGTGTACCTTCTAGGAAGGTTACACATGATTCAGAATCTGATTCTATTACTTCTGATAGTGAGGAAGATGATTTTAGGGAAAGAGTTTTCAAAGGTAATAAAACAAAGCGTAAAATGAAGAAACGTCCAACGGTAACTGCTGTAAAGGTACCTAATTATGAAACGCCAATCACGCAAGCTTTCCAGGGATACAGTACATTAAAACAATTTGGACAATCACCGTTAGCTACAGGTAATATTTACACACCAAACCTTCACAACATGAATGCGAAAATAAAAGAAACTGTTATGGACACTGATGGTTGTTCGAGTGAATATGTGCCCACTAAACTTGGTTCTTCTGCTAAGAAGAACTACCAAGCTTTCAAAGACAATGTTAAGAAAAAAGGCTTTTGGGTAAAAGCAAATGGGCAATCATTTTCAAACACACATAAAAAACCAAACAATTCTAAGAATGTATTGGTACCTCCGCAAACTTCTGGAAAGGATAGTTTTTGGGCTAAAACCAATGTACAAGTTTTTAAATATGCAACACCAGCTAATGTATTCAAAAACTCTGTTAGTAATCACCCTGGAACTACTGATTTTTGGTCCAAGATTAATACCCAAGCTTTGAAAGACATTGATAGATCTAATGACAAAATCTCTAACAGTTCCAAATATCCTGCCATTGATAACGTCTTTGCGAAAACAACAGAACAGTCCAACATTAAAACTAAAACAACCAATACTCCAACATTTAGCCCTGAAGAAGAACAAGTTAGTATAGAAACTTATAGTGATGAAAATCGTGGTTACAATTCTGGTCAACCCATCGAAAGTAATCAAACTGAATTCACCAATGATGATTTTAATGATTTTGTACCTATTGACCCTTACAAATCGTTAGAAAATTCCATCAAACAAAGTAAAACATCCAAAGATACTAGTAGTGTCTTTGATATGGTACAGTCAAATACTTCAACTAATAAAAGTATACTGGACATTTTTGGAAATGGAAAGACTCAGGATAGTCCTGAAAATGACAACATATTGGAGAAATACGACTCTGTGAGGAAAATGTATGAAACCGAATGGGATGATGACGATGAAGCTCTCTATAAAGACTCTGAATCCACAAACTTGCCCACTAAAGAACTTAGCCCTATCCGTGAAGTTGTTCCAAATAAACCCCCTAGCCCTATGTCAAGTATGCTTTATGGCGAAAACGAATTGAGTGCTCAAACATCAACGCCCAATAAAATAACCATTGATGTTGTGCGGGAGAGACATGACAATTTATTTAATATTTTAAAAGACTTTCAGGCCAATAGGGATGTGGAGGCAAGTGAAACTAATGACACCCAAGAGCATGCTGTGCATCCTCATAAATCACATCATTTACCACTACATGAAATACCATTCCCAAAACCCAAGCATCAAATGGATACTGATCAAATGGCAACATTAAAATCTGACACATTGCCTCTAGAGATTTCTGATGAAATTATAGAATTGTCCAAGGGAAATGATGATGCTAGTGTAACACAGAATAACTTCCGTAACAAAATTATCAGTCCATCTAAACAAGTGCACGTTCTTCAATCAATAACCATCAAAACGAAAGATGATACACCGCAAATTGTCGAGCCAGAAGCTGAGAATTTACGTGAAATCCAACAAAACAGTAATTTAACAACATTGACATGTACTCCTGAACACGTTGGTAATAACATTGAGAAATTGGATAAAGTACCTGAAATTTCGTCGCTTACCGTACCGCAAATTGATTTGTCGCAATTGCTAGCGAATATAAATACAAACGAACTCCTCTTAGCTCTTCAAAATCTACAGGATCAAACTTCAGTTAGCACTACTCAAGAAAATGGTAATCAAACCTTGCAAGATGTGGAGCCACCAGTGGAGACAATTAACCTAACAAATGATGAAGATTGGGAGAAAGAGTCCAATCACGAGGGTAGCATTGAGAGACAACTAGAAAGGTTGGACGGTAATACTGGTGACACTCCTTTTTTAAGCGATATTTTTGATCCAGGACCAATACTTATACCTCCAAATGTTGCCAAAAAATTGAACTTAAATCTCGAAGAGAAGAAGGAAACTTCTCCATTTATGAATAATAGTAATACGCCTATTATCGGAAATTTTAAAAGCTTCGCACTGCCAAAACCAATAATGTTGAATAGACTCAAAGTGTCTGTTAAAGTTCCTGATAAGAGTAAGAAATTGCCTGGAGAAAAGAAGTCTAGAAGAAGGAAGGTTTGTATTCATCATACTCATGTACTGAAATCTCGAAATTCAGAAGAAATATTTGTATGAACACTTGCACTGATGTTCTGTCTTGTTGCAGAACAAAGCGGGTGCATCGAAGGAAGGAGGCGGGGAAGGTTGCGCTGAAGAGGACGAGGAGGAAGATTCAGGAGATGAAGCTGATCTCTCCAAGTACGATCTCTGCGGTAGTGATGAGGAGCAAGGCGCTTCAAACGCAGGTACTTAAAAAGAGGCAAAATGTAATGCAGCATAAATAAACAAAGTTTTAAGCTTATTGGTATAATGCAGTTCAACTACAGCTTTGAAGTTTACAACCTCTTTTTGTCCAACAGTTCAATTAAACGCTTTTTTCTAAGTGGCATTTCATAGCTTGGATACACATTATTTTGTTGGTTATTTATATGCAGAAAAAAAAGATGGCGAGAACTCAAAGGAGGGTGGTGCAGACGCTAATGACAAAAATGGTAAAGCAGCTAGTCCAGAATCCAAGAGGAATAAGAGAAGGTTGGTTTTAGAAGTAGGTAAAATACCAATCTTGTTTATCGTCATTCGACACGGTAACTTTATATATTCTTTTGTTTGGTTTAAACAAGACGGCAATACTTTTTGAACTCATGTTTTTCGTTTGTTCAGATCTAGTTCGTCATCATCGACAACCTCGTCATCGAGTTCTAGTTCAAGCTCGTCACAAGGGCAAAGTCCTAAAAATAAGTAAGTTCAACTTTGACCTGTATACCTTTTGTTATTATTTGGAAATGTTTCAATGTTCGAAATGGTTTGGTTTTGCAGATTTGATGATTTCAACCTGAACAGTGAGCGCGAGGGCTCGCCGCGCGGCCGCCACTCAGGTTCTCGCTCGCGCTCCCCGCGTTCACGTTCCGGAAAATCTCCACAACGGCGCAAATCTCGCGACTCTAGGTATTAAAAGTGCGAATGTTGTGTAGGTAACGTTTTTCGATAAATTACTCCTGCGTAAGCTGTATTATTATAAGAACTCGTATCTAGTGTGCACAGTCCTTATTTAAAATCGAGTAACCACATTATGATGATTACATAGATGATACGAACGCATGGTGTACTTCCAGCTATTGAATGTTTGTGATGATACAAAAAAAAAATATCATTAGGAGAATTTGACATGCTAAGGACTAGTGGTTTTTTGTTTAATGTGACGATTTCAAGTGTAATTTGATTACCTACGAAATAAAGATACTTGATTTGATTATTTAACCACGCGAATGGCGTTAAGATTAGGTAATTGTGTTTATTGGTTTCAGAAGTTCACGGGACAAAGAAAAATCTCGCGACCTCGATCGACGCGACCGCTCGCGTGGTGAACGCAAAGAGCGCCGTTACAGTCGCGAAGGAAACCACTACACTCGTGTTAGGCACCGCTAACGAACTTTACTTAGTTTAGAATGAACGACAGTCGAAATCTAGCTCTGTATGAAATTTGCCTAGTTAAGGAATTGGATAGAGGCACAACGCTTTTGAAAAGTTATATAAGATACTAAAGTAGTTTGGTAGGTAGGGGGATTTTTAAATGTAAGCTTTGTGGGCGAGATTTCCATGAAGCGAATAAAAAGTCGCTGTTTATTTTATAATCGGGGTGGTCTTTTTGACACGCGACTTTGTATGTGATAGTAGCAGTAGATTTCAACTTGAGTTGGGTCTCGACTTTTGCAAGAAAAAAAGCGATGTAATGGGATACTTAAACCTTAAGTTACGCGAGTAGTCTGTATTTGCTAAGTATATAGCGAATATGTACTTTTATCTAAGATTCGCGAGTTGGATTTTTTGCTAAATATCAAAGTATTTTTTTGTAGTGTGATCTCACCAGATGAGTGGGGATATTATATTATATTATATTATTACCCATACTTGTTTGTGTAGGGCAAACAAACACAGATTTATGCATTTAAGTTTCCATAATATTATGGTATTTTTTTATTAGGGACTTGTGACTTTACAATACATTTGCTAAGATTTAATATTTCAATAATATATGGTATTGTTTTTTCATGTATTGCCTAGGACATGGGTCTGATTTCAAGGACGCTCCTTTAAATACATATATCTTAGTAGTTAGAGACACTTTGTGTGATAAAACGTTTTTTGTTTTTGTAAATAGTTCCAAGTGTTAAAAAGTAAGGTTCTCGTCATAGATTAGTGTATCTCTCTTACTCTTAACTTTGAATGTGCGCATAAAACATGCAGGATTTAAAGACATTTTAGTTTTCTTAGCAAAAAAATGTCTAGTGATATCTCTATTAATAAGCTAAATAGTATGGTATTGATTTGCCAATAAAATCAAAGTTATGAACTATCCGTTTTATTAAAAAACATTATCACATAATAATTGCATTATGGAAAACAATATATTTTAAAAATAACAATTTTTTTACACGTAATACAACAAATTTAGACCTTAGCGTAGTGCTGCTTGGCATATTCAATAATCTACATGGCTGTACTCCACATAGGTACCTACTGCTTCTTCGTATTCCCTGCATCCGTCCATCCTTCCATGCAGCGACATTCCTGTGCATTTGTAAAAAAATTCTGCAGTAAGCATATATAACGTATTAAAAAATTGACAAATTGAAAAGTGGACTGCCAAACTCACACAAGTATTATAATGACTCTAAGGACACAGTAACTTAATCTAATAAATTTTTATCTTCCTACGCATGCCCTTTATAATGACGAGCATTTCTCACTTTCATCACATTTGCGCGCGCAAATATTTATTTTTAATTTTGACACAGTTCTATACATTTGCGCGCGTAGAATTTTATAAAATTGAATATTTTCGATTTTCGTCTTAGACTTTGGTGACCTTTGACCTCTATTATCTCAGGTTACAGATCGAAATTTAAAATTATATTTTCGCCACTACCTGTAGAATGTATTTTGTATGCTAGTTTTTATGCAAATTTATCTAATACATATTGATTGTGGATCTGCTCCGAAAAGGGACAATATACTTAATTGTACTGCTAATCATCTTTAAATTTCTCTTTATTTTTTTGAAATAGCAGTAACAATAAAGGGCACGGACTACGGTTGAGTAATTCCTACTCAAAAGCTGATGTAATGT